TACATACATATATCTGTATATATATATACACACACAAATGTAGTTTAAATTACATCACACAATACATATTCTGTAACTTATGTTTAACTTAGTACCTTAGTACCTTGGCTCCCCTTCTGTGTAATTGCATGTTCTGCCACCTTATTGTTTTAATGGATGCAAAGCACTCTATAATAAGGAGGCCTAACGTTTATGAACCCATTTACTTGTCTATAGACATTTGGTTTGTTGTCAGTTTTACTTTGTTATATGCATACTTTGAGTATTTATACACATTAGTAGTAATTTCTATTACAGAAAATCTTTCTCTACCTTTCCGTTTTTTTCCATGTGTAGAGACAGGGGTCTCACTATTTTGCCCAGGCTGGTCTTAAACTCCTAGCTTCAACGATCCTCCCACCTTGGCCTTCCAAAGTGCTGGGATTACAGGCATGAGGCAGCACTCCTGACCTACCTTTTCATTTCGACTTGGCTTTTGAAAATAGCCATCGAAGTCACTGAAAATTTCTAATACAAGGCTTCAGAGAATGCTTAAACTAATACACAAGGACTGGTTTGAAAGGAAATCTCTGCTTTTTACTTTTGTGCCCCATTTTCAAATCTGTGACCTGTTACCTCAGTCTGTCTAGAATTCTGCCTTTCTAACTTAAAACCATTCTGCCTTTTCTGACTAAGAGAATAAGAGGATGGCAATGCATTCACTCATACTTCCTCTTTATCCTCAATAGCCAGAATTTAGGGATAAGATATTCTAAGAATTTAGAATAAGATATTTTCTATTCGAGGATGTGAATCTGCTTTTTAAAAATTGTCAGGTAGCCATTGGTGGCATTGCAGGACATACTCTCCTAAAGAAAATACTCTTAAAGATGTCTACCTCCAGAGCTGAAACTCTGTATTTTCATGAACAGACTTAATGAATTCTGGAATTCTAGATTAAAAAAAAAATTCTCCATATTATAATTTTGGAGATCTTTACTTTAGATTTTCTCTTTTTCGATAGGCCGCATCTACAAGTGCTTGTTTACTGGCTCCGTGAGCTCACTACTGACACTGCCGCTAGACATGCTGTCCACGTGAGTATTGAACCTGTGTGACAGTGAAGGTTGCGCAAGGTAGATAATACTTGTTTTCTTCGTATTTTTGTTATAATTCAAAAATTCTTTTTCTGTTCTAAGGACAATAATTTATGTCTCTTATTCTCCTGTTTATAGCTATAGTAAAAGTAACTGGTAAATATAAGTGACGTTTCTTTTACAATGTACCTGTTCTAAAGGATGGTTTTGTAATGGTGGGATCACTTGTTAAATAGGTTATTGTGCAACTTGAGACATACACTGCTGTGTTGTGTTCCTATGTTGCGAGTTCATTTAAACGTATTTTTAACACATACAGTTGAACTGAAATTTATTGAATTTATTGGAACACTGGAGGCCCAGTGGGAATAGTGAAAAGAGATTGTACACACGGCTTGGTTTTGTAACCAAAGCTGCCTTTGGCAATTTGAAAAATTGAGTCAGTTTTTCTGAAAGCAGTCATAACTCAACTACTTTTTTTCTGAGTAATGTTTTATATTTGCTATAGAATACTTTTTAGGGGGTAATTTTACTTTAAGTTTCCTTAATGTCTGAGCAGTTGCTCAGTAATTGGGATCATATCTAGGTATACTGTATCAGTTATCTGTTGGCATAAAACAGAGTGTCCCAAAACTTAGTGGCTTAAAACAACATTTAATTTGCTTTTAATTCTGGGGATCAGCAATTTTGGCTGGGCTTAGCTGACCTGTTCATCTGTTAGGCTTGCGTAGGACACTAAGATGTTTTACTGGGACTTAATGGTCTAAGATGATTTCAGCTAAGGGGTCTTCTTTCTCCTCCACATGGCCTCTCATCTTTCAGAAGGCTAGCGGGGGTTTCTTTACATGGTAGTCTCAGGGCAGCATTCTAAAAGGGCAAGAGTGGGAGCTTGAAAGTTCTTTTCTGGGCTCTGGAGCGTGGACCATCACCTCTGGTCTGGACAGTTAACAAAACCTGCCCAGATTGAAGGTTTGGGGAAAAGAACTCTAGAGTTTGTCTTCTTCTTCTTCTTTTCCTTTTCTTTTTTTTTTTTTTTTAAAGATAGTCTACCTGTCGCCCCAAATAGAGTGCAGTGACATCATTGTAGCTCACTACAACCTCCAAGTCCTGGGCTCAAGTGATCCTCTTGCCTCAGCCTCCTGAGTAGCTGAGACTACAGGCATACGTCACAATGCCCAGCTAATTTTTCTATTTTTTAGTGGGGACAGGGTCTCGCTCTTGGCTCAGGCTGGTCTCAAACTCCTGAGCGTAAGCAATCCTCCTGCCTCAGCTTCCCAAAGTGCTAGGATTATAGGCGTGAGCCACCGCACCAGGCCGAGTCTGTCATCGTTTAAAATCTACAACAAGCAGTTACTGTTCTCATTGCTGATGGCAAGGAGGGATTAGAGAGGGGATATTTTAGTCTCAGCTCATCAAAATGTATGGTCTGCAGGGTTCCTGAGTAAGGGGGTATTTAGAATTCCCCTTTTGATTTAGGGTATATTGCATACAGTAATATCTTCTAACAGGCCACACCAGTTTGAAGTTTGGAGCTACTAGGCTGAAATCTACCAAATTAACCCTTCCTCAGGTTTTTCATGGAGGAAGAAAGTCATTCCATTAAAATAATGGATTTTCCAAAGGCTACCAAGATATCTGAGTTATCCTTGAATTATTCTGAAATCATAGACATGGACTAGGGAAGGATAAGCCTTTTCAGAAAGGAAAAGGACTAGGGGGTCCCACTATTATAATATATTCCATGTATTTTCTTGTGTGATTACTAAAGGAAGCATACCTTGCCTCTCTGCATTTTTTGAGAAACTAATATATTTTTGGCATGTTTGCATTTAGCATCAAAATTTGATTTGTTTTGTAAGGGAGAAATTTCTGTGAAATGTATTATAGGCTTCCTTGTCTTACACATGGCATTCTGAGTATCTCTCAGCCTTCGTTTCTTTATGTTGTCATTAGGACCATCTGGAGGAGCTTCTCTGCTTTTCTGATTTGATGATTCTGTTAATTTGTGTGGGCTCAGGTATCAGCTAAGCAAGTTTTTAAACTTGTTTGCAAAATAAGGATAAAGAAATTTTTAGTAAGGTTTGGACAGAGTTGTTTGCCTTTAGTAAATTACATAAACTTATTGCTTTTCCTTTGTCAAGTGTTTTTGTTTGCTGCTTTCCTGTTTCTTGGCCATGTTCAAAAGATAGGCTAGCTCATTTCTCTATATTAGTAGGTTTGATGTTATTTTATGCCTAGTATAATATAAACAATATACATAATACAAAT